AGACTTCTATGTGTGGCTTAAATGCTTAGAAATATTTTGCTTGTTTGATTTACCTGATCAGCATTTGAAATGTTTGAGAGAAGCAGACACATAAAATTTGTGATGTGGTTTGAACTAAGAAAATTTAATCAATCAAGTTTCGAGTGGTGGTAAATGTTTAAAGACAATTTAATGTTAAATTTATGAGGTAACTGCACATGAATCAAAGAACAAGTAAAAGTGATTATTCTTATTTTATATAAATATTGCTAGATTAATAAGTGGACTAGCCAGATTTATAAGTTGAATTTAAAAGCTTGAGAAAAATCAGGATTTAAATTTTACAGCTTAATGTAAGTGAATAGTAATTCAAACCAATTATTGTAAATAATTTTTCCATACATAGAAAGTCTCTCTAACTTTAGTAAACCTCAGTTGATACATTTATTCAATTGTTTGTTCAAAACATATTTATTGCTCATCTGCTATGAGACGGGTGCTATTCTAGGCATTAGGAATATAGTGGAAAATGACTCCTGGTCCTGTCCTTCATTGAGAGTAAATACGAGTGGAGGATGCAGGGGCAGGAGGGTAGTGTCAAACAAGCCAACACATGACTTCAGATAATGGAGAGACAAATACCAGTCAATCAGAGACAGTTTCTTTACCTCCTGACTCTAACCCCATCTTCCTCATGGCAAAGGACCCTTTGTCCCCTCTCCCACTGTCCAGGAATAGAAGCAGTGGCCTTTCCCTTTTTCCATAGCCAAAGACACCACCAAGTTCTCCAACTCCTACCAGACTCCAGTTCCTGATACCAGCCTACCGATCCTCACATAACCAAAGAATCCACAAATGTTTATTAAGCATCTACTATATCACAGGGTGAGGCTCTGTCAGGGCAGAGAAGGGAAGAGGAAAGTAAGAATTCAGAGAATGTGCAGTAAACCAAGCAGCCCAATGGTAATGAGCACTCAGCAAGTGATACTGGCCCTGATATCAGTTCCCCTACATTAAGCCCGGCATATATGGGGTTAAACTCAAAAGGCACCCATCCCCTTTCCCTGCTTCTTTAAGTTACGTTCATATGTAAATATCAGTTTCTTTAACTTTTCTATCCCTGAGCTTCAGGCAAATAGAAGTTACACATTGTTTAAGCCCAGGTGGCCTCATGCTGGGCTCACACTGAAGTTGTGGCTGATTATGGGTCTCTGAAGTTTACTACAGGGAAACTGAGGTCTGGAGGATATCAAGAAGCTGAAGCTTCCCAGATCCCAGCTCCTGGGCTTCCTGGCACAGGAATCCACCACCCATCACAGAAGCAGACAACCAAGAACAGCCACCTGCGGATTCCCTTATCTCACCATCTCCCTCCCTAAAAGCAGCCTCACAAGGCCAAACACAGGCTGGTGGGAAGGCGACAACCAGCAAGGCCACAGGCTCCTCTCCCCTACCCAAAACACCAAATAAAAACCCCTATCATTTTCCCTTTGAGGAGGTGGATCTGAGTTTTAGCTCCCATCTCCTCTTCTGTCTGCCTTTCAATAATAAAAGCCCCTTTCCTTGCCATAAGCCTGGCATTCCAGTTTTTTATTTTTGGCCCCTCTTGTGTGCTGCGTAAAAGAACCTGTGTTTGTGTTTGGTGACACAAGTATTTCCTCTACACCTCCCACCCAGCTAAGCACTGAAGGGTGAGAGGCCATAGTGGTGAGGAAGCCAGGATCCTTGCCACCAGGGAGGACAGCCTTGTAGGGAAAGGAAGACCCTACTTCATTCAATTAAAGACACCCCTTTCTTTACATTTTACAATCTTTAAAATTGGACTTTATCTTACAATGGTGATGCTTTTGAGTGGATGAAACAGTTAACTATACCACAAAGCAGCATCATGCCTGAGAGCTGTGTAAAGCCTACGGCAATTAGAACAGTGGTCTGAAGTCAGGCTGCACATTAGAATCACCTGGGAAACTTTAAAAAAAATACTTAGGGGCTGGTCTTGTAGCCGAGTGGTTAAGTTCACGCGCTCCGCTGCAGGCGGCCCAGTGTTTCGTCAGTTCGAATCCTGAGCGCGGACATGGCACTGCTCATCAAACCACACTGAGGCGGCATCCCACGTGCCACAACTAGAAGGACCCACAACTAAGAATATGCAACTATGTACTGGGGGGGCTGCTTTGGGGAGAAAAAGGAAAAAAATAAAATCTTCAAAAAAAAATACTTATACCCAGACCCCACCCCAGACCAACTGAATGAGTTTGGAGAGGGTAGGGCTAGGGAGGGGTATTTTTGAAAGCACCCCATGTGATTCTACTATGTAGCCAGGGTTAAGAACCGGGCTGGCAGTTTCACATCCGTTCCCCTGAGGTTAATGAAGCCTCCCCAGGGGCACGCCTGCCTGGATACTTGAGGGCAGGGGTCAGCAAACAGAGCCTGTGGCCCAAATCTGGCCTGCTGCCTGCTTTTTTACCACCCAGGAGCTAAGATAGTTTTTACATTTTTAAATGGTTGGGAGAAAATATCAAAAGAAGAATATTTTGGGACATGTGAAAATTATACGAAATTCAAATGTAAGTATCCATAAATAAAGTTTTATTGGAACATAGCCATACCTCTTGGTTTACGTATTGTCTATGGCAGCTTTTGTGCTACAAGGGCAGAATTAAATAGCTGGGACAGAGGCCATCCAGCTGGCAACGCCTAAAATATTTATGATCTAACCCTTTATAGAAAAAGTTGGCTGATCCCAGCTTGAAGGGAATGGATTTCCAGAATCTCAACATCCCTGCGTCCTCTTCCGAGAACTTACCTGCCTGGGAAGACGTCAGCTGTGAAGGCTTAGGCGCTGTGGGGATCTTCTCCCACCTCTGGTTTACCTTAGCCCTCTCACCAGCCCTGGGGTGTAAAAGCCCCGAGGCCCTAAGCAGAGAAATAACCCCAAATACTGGTGTCTAATAGGGTTCTGAGGACTTTTTTTTTCAAGTCAGGTGGGTTCCGGATATTGCCTTCCAAAGACTGTGGAGGACTCAATCAAGTTTTCAGCTGCCAAATCGTTAAAAATATTTGGTGATAGATGGCTATGCGATTTTTGGCATCTAACTCAGAAAGCATTCAAAGAATTGAGTAACATGGCTATGCCAAAACTAGTGTCATAATTATTATGTAAACAAGGTTTTTTGAGGTTTACAACTAAAATATTTTAAATGCTGAATGTGGTCTCTTTCTATGAACAAGCAGTATTTGTCCACAGGAACATGACCACTAGGAGGAAATAAAGGTTCATCTCAGAAAAAGTGAATTTCAAATAACAGTTTATGTTTATTATTTATCAAAACTTGTCTCCTATTTACATTTGGGTCAATTATGTGCTGATAATTGTACTTATAAATGAGACCCTCACCATCTTGCTGCCCGCTCGCTCCTCCCCACTTGGGCCCTCCACAGGGCAGCTCACAGCAGCCCAGAGAGAGACGGAGCCAGCAGACCGAGGTCTTTTTGTAGCCTAATCTTCTAAGGGAAGCCCCATCATTTTTGTCTTATTCTATTCGTATTCTACTGACGGAAACAAGCGACTAGGCCTGGCCCGCACTCAAGGGGCGGGAGATACACCAGGACATGAATACCAGGAGGTGGGAGCACCAGAAGCCATCTTGGAAGCTGCCTGCTGCAAATGTCAAATTTTTCTTTTTTTTTTTTAAAGATTGGCACCTAAGCTAACTGTTGCCAATCTTTTTTTTTTTTTTCCTGCTTTTTCTCCCCAAATCTCCCAGTATGTAGTTGTATATTTTAGTTGTGGGTCCTTCTAGTTGTGGCATGTGGGACGCTGCCTGAGGGTGGCCTGACAGGGTGCCATGTCTACGCCCAGGATCTGAACCCACGAAACCCGGGCCGCTGAAGCGGAGCCCACGAACTTAACCACTCGGCCACTGGCCGGCCCCTACAAATGTCAAATTTTAATAACAGTTATATCCTCTACACTATTTAAACTTAGGATGACGAGTTTTAGATGTCATCTTAAAAATGTGTAAGAAATGCAGTTTTCCAAAATTCTTCTAGAAATAAACAAGTAAAGACATTTGAAGTCCGGGAGCGTCAGGCCTAATTTAGCTGGGTCGTGTCAGGCAGCGGGGCCTAACCAGAGGGTCACCAGGGGCCCGGCGGCTGCGGCGCTCTGCCAGTCCGAAAACCCACGGCCCCAGTGCGGGCGGGCGGAACACTGAGTGCGCCTGGCTCCGTGGGCGTCAGAGGCCGGGCCGGGGCCTTAGACTCGATAGGGAGGGAAAGGCAGACGATGGTGGGTTTCGGACGAAGGGAGGAAGAGGATAAGAAGTGCTGTTCTCAAAGGCAGGTGTGTCGGGAGCGTGTAGGATGAACCAGAGGCCGAGGCTCGGAACCGCGATCCGCAGCAGGGACCCAGGGGAGCAAAGGCGCCGGCCTTGGGGTGGTCCCCGCAGTCGGGAGAGGAGAGGATGCAGTCAGCACACGTTCTAGAGGATGAGTCCTCAGAACCGGAGGCTAACCAGTTAGCCGATGACGGTCCTTCAGCAGACGTGGAGCAAGACCCTTGGGAAACACGGCGGTCTGGGGCGCTGTGGGGACACAAAATGGTGAGACCAGGGGCAGCCCTCAAGGAATTCAGTCTCCCGGAGTTGGCGCCAGATGTGTGGGAAATGATTGCTCGCGCTCCCTCCCCCAACCCGACGAAGCCAGGCGTCGGGAGCAGGAGCTGCCGGCCTGCGCAGGAGAAAGGAGAGCCGGGACGGCAGAGAGGCCTCGGGGAGAGAGGGGTGGGAAGAAGGGACGGGGCGAAGACAGCGGACTTCGTTGAGTCTCGAGTCGGGCCTGATGTCACATGACCGAGAAGGGAAAGGAGAGGGGCAAAGGACCAAAGCCGAGTTTTCCGGCTCGACGGGCAGAGCGAGGCCGGGCTCGGCGCGCGGGGAGGGGCGCGCACCTGCGGCGGGGCGGCGGGGCGGTGCAGCCCTCGGCCCGCCCCCTCGGCCGGCCCGCCCCGGCCGGCTGGAAGCCGGAAGCGGGCGGAGCAGAGCCGACGCGGGACGTCGCGGCCCAAGGAAGCCCCCGGGCGCTCCCTGGCTGCGCCCGCGCCCCGGGCCGCGAGTCCCCCCGACGGTGCTGGGGCCATGGGGGCTCCGCGCCGCGGGCCGCCCGTCTTCCCTGGGCCCCCGCCGGGGCTGCTGCCCCTGCTCCTGCTCCTGCTCCTACTCCTGAGCGGGCTGGCCCCGGGTCGCGCCTCCCCGCGGCTCCTGGAGCACCCGGCGCCCGTCTGCTCCCAGCAGGTGAGACCCGGACGCGTCCCGGAGGCGCGGGCGCCGCGAGGATGCTGCGGTGGCGGGGGGCGGAGAGGGCCGGCGGCTGGGGACCAGGTGCCCCGGGCTGGGCGGGCAGGAAGTCTGCGCTGGGGGTCCGAGGCCTGGGCACAAAGACCTGGGAGGACCGTCGCAGCGGTGGGAGTTGCGGTGTGGACCTGGGCGGAGAGGGAGTTTGTGGGGGTAAAAGATCGCGCTGCGCGTGTTGCACAATCTGAAGTGGCCTCCTGGGCGGGAGGCGGGAGTGACACCTCCGCCGTCGCCCCAGTTTGGGGAAGGAGACCGAGGCACGGGGCCCGGCCAGAGAGGCGGGGCAGGACTGCTTGGAAGGGGAGGTGGAAGGGGGCCATCGGAGGAGCCAGGCAGGACGCGACCGGCTTCCACGCAGCGCGGCGCACAGATCCCCGGCTGTGGTCCGGCGCGAGCCCGGGAGGCCGACTCGGGCCGCGGAAGCTGCCCCTTCAAAGGAGCCCGCGAGCGCACGGCAGCCGGCCAGAGGGCGCTGTGCGGAAGGTGGGGGCCCGACGGGGCTCAGCCCTGCTCCCCAGGGAGGGACCCCGCGTTGAGGGCCGCGCCACGAGCCGGGCGGCCTGCGGGGCCAGGAGCCTGAGCGGTGAGACGCGGCCTGTAGCCGTCCTGGGACAGTTGCGCGGAGGGCGGCCGGCAGACTCGGGGCAGCTCGGTGACACCTTCCCAGAGGGGCGAAGCCCTGGGATGGGGCAGATGGTTAAGCTACCCCTCCAGCTACCCTCCCCCCCATCCACCGCCACTCGCATCTGGGATAACAGCCGCTTTGTATCTGTCAAGTCGTACCCCGAGCGGTGCCCACAGGAAGTGACACACCCACATGTTGGGTAGTGCCCTTGTTGTGGAGGACCATCTTAAGGAAAAAAAAAAAGAGAAACAACAGAACACTGTATCCGCCTCCACAGCCTCTCCGCTCTAAGCTGTCCTCTCTTTCCTCCGCTTTCTCTCTGGTTTCTTCAGTCCCCTCTCCTCCACCGCCACTGACCCTAAGGAGTAATGCTCAGATCTGAGTCAGAGGATGTGAAACAACCAGAGATATTTCTCCTTATCTAATTTTATGGACTGTTTACCAAAAGAGGGTGGAGGGTGAGTGACTGTTTAGCAGAATTTTTTTTTATGTGAATGACATTGGGAAATGACTGTGACTCCCACTTTTGGGAAAAGCGGGGACATATGCCCAGCAGACCCTTCCTGCAGACTTGCCGTGGAAGTATTCTCCCATGGATGATTCAGTGTTCGTTTTTTGACTGCCATTGGCCCGGGGCCTGCAAAATACGAGGTTCTGTTGCTAGGAACTGAAGCTGTAAAGAAACGCATCCAGGACCCCAGTGTCCAGGGACTTAAATCATCCGGGAGGGAAAAAGGCTGGAAGGTAGGTCACTATGGTGCAAGGCAGTCTGTGGCAAGTGCTTTTCGTACACCCAGTGTGTGTACAGAATTCCAGGGAAGAGAAAAACTACTTCTAGCTGGGATGTTCCTCACGGCAGAGAAGACATTTGGGCAGCCCCAAAGGATGGAGCATTCCAACTGGTGGAAAGGGGCTGAGCCAAGGCCCTTGGGTGGGCAGGATAAGGTGTGTGGCTGGAGTGGAGGTCTCTGTGGCAGGAAAGTGAGAAAAGCTAGAAAAGGAGGTAGGGACTCCATCGTGTCGTGCATGAGAGGTGGGCTAAACAGGTTTGCCTTTGATTGTTCAGTGGAAAGCTGAAAGTCAGGAGCAGGAGTGGGGCACGGGAGGATTCCAGAGCGGGCTGGGGAGAGCTGCTGTTGGGCAGATGTGTCTGCCCTCTCCTTGCTCTTCCTTCCTCCCACTTGCCTTTGCATACACCTGGCTCGCAGGCAGACAACTCATAACAACTTCCCTGCTTCATTGACTAGTTCTTTTAAAAAGAAAGAAACCACGCCCTTCAGATTTCTTTCCCCCTTCTGATGTTTTAGTAGATGCAACACGATGTGGAGAGGGAAGAAAAGCTACAAACTTGGCCTCTGAGGACCTGGAATGGCCTCCAGACTTTACCCTTACAATCTCTGCAGTGTTGGGCAGTTCAGGCTGCTCGTGCCTGGGTTTCCTCATTTCCACAATGAAAGGGCCAGGTGAGCCATCTCAAGGTGGGCCTGTGCCACTTTCCAGAGTATAAATGTCTGTCCAAAGCCCAGCTGGCTGGGGCTCCCAGTGACTCCCTCCTAGGACAGAGACAAGCCTTGCGCAGGCCTGTGCTCTGCCTAGCCCAGTGTTGTAAGCACAGATGTGGGGCCTTGATGAATATTTGTGGAGTGAAAGAACGAAGGAATGAATGAATGGATGGATGAAGAATGATTAGCTTTGCTTGAAAAGCAGTGATAAACCAAGACCAGGCGTAGCACTGTTTCCGGCTGCCCGGATTTAGCACCTCAAAACCCACATGACTCTGAGTTCCCCACAGAAATCGATCTGGAGAAACCACAGGTCACTGCATCTCCCTGGGCAGCCTTATGGTCGGCCCTTCCCCTGCTGGGCTTTCTCACTGGGCCCCGTGGCTGCAGCCCAGAGGAAAGACAGCCCCTTGGAGCTGGTCACTGAGTGTTAACACACAGTTTTATGGACAGGATGTGTGTTGTGTTACAGATTCTTTTTTTTTCCTGAGCACTTGTGTTTTTGGCTTGTAGAGCAGCTGTTTGGTTTCACGCCTATCTTCTGGTTGCCGAAAGCTCTCAGCTGTGCCACTTTCCAGAGTATACGAAGTTGTGTTACGTGGACGTTCTCGTATGCTGTGGGTGTGCAGGCCGTCAGGGTTGGGGTCACTGCTGGTAGAGGAGTGAGCAAAGTTGACAGGCTCCTTGGCCACCATTCCTGACTTCTCGCTCTGGCTGCTCACTGCCAGCCTTCTGTCTGGAGACTGTGTGACATCAGATGAAGCATGTGGCGAGGTGGTGCAGGGGCGAGGACTCCGGGCTGAGAGTCAGAAGACCCCAGCTCTGGGTCACGCTTCCCCTGTCACCCACCCTGCAGCTTTGAGTTAGTCACTCCACCGCCCCAAGTCAGTGTCCTTGTCTGTATAAGGAGGTGGTCCTCACCTCAGTGGGTTATGGAGAGAGCAGATAACGTGCTAGCTGTGCGCAGGGGCTGGACCGGGGACACTGTGGTGTCAGAGGGCATGAGGGCGCTAACGTCCACCTGCAGCTTTGCGCTGGGCTCTGTGTGGGGCTTGGCGTGTGACTTCAGTCAGTGCTCACCACAGCCTGCCAGGCTGCTGTGATTAACCTGGCTTAGAGAGGCGGGGTGATGACCCATGGCCACACAGCTAGTGAGAGCTGGGCTGAGGGTCCGTGCAGGGCTGTGTCTGTGACTTCAGAGCCCGCTCTTCCTTACCAGGCACTTGGTAACGTTCTGTTAATGCACAGAGTTGCATGTGGTCTTTTATTTCTTCCTTTTAATCTCCACCACTGTGGACAGAGAATATTAGTCTCCCTTTTTATTTAGGGAAGCCGTAAGCAGTGATTGAGAGGGTGGGTTCAGAGCAAAACTGCATGGGTTCGTGTCAGCTCTGTGGGACCTCAGGCCACTCAGCTGACCTCCCCATGCCTCAGTTTCTCATCAGTAAAAATGGGATAATAGTACTTACCTCATAGGACTGTTGTAAAGATTAAATGGGATATTAAAGTGTTAAAGATCGGGTGATGCCCAGCACAAAAGAAGAGCTCAGTAAATATTAGCTGCTGCTGTCGTCGTCTTCATCATCACGAACATTCTCCCTCTTGGACTTCTGCAGGAGGCCTAACAAAATGCCACTCACAGGCAGGCAGTTCATAAAGAATATTCTGATCCTGCTATTTTTTTAAAAAGGGCATTTGAAGTAAAGAAATTGGGGATGATTTGTTGGAGGGGAATAAAACACAATCCAAAAAAGACCCTGCATGCATTTTTTACGTTGTTAAAAACGTTACTTTAAAGTAAATTCTATCTGGGAATTAAGTCATAAGGAAAACATGTCCACTATTCCTCCCCCTAAACAAGTTAATATTTTCATTTGTTCATCTCACTTTTCAATCCTTTCATTTGTTTGGAGTAACATCATGGATAAAATTCTATCTTGTAATTAATCCTTATCAAGGTAATATATGGTGATCCTTTAAAAACGGTACTAAGATGTTTAAAAGAAAGACAGCAGAGCCCTGTCCCACCCTCACCACCCCCTAGCCTCTTCCCCCGACGTTACTTGTGTTTCTTGTAGGTATTTCTTCTGGCGTTTGCCTCCATGTTTCTAAATGGACTGCTCTTGTCATTCTTGATTTGTCGATTTTAGATGCTACCTGTTAGAATAGATGCAAATTTAAGTTGCCTACGCTCCCCTGCTCCCACTGCTTCTCCTCCCAGTCTCCCTGTTGTAGTCGTAGCACGGTGTTAGTTAAATCAGTGCTCAGTGTTTATATTGTAACAAGTAGGTAATCCTCACTGCTGAGGCAAGTGTGTGTATTTTGATTATATTTCTTTTCTGGTATAATTTCTTTTCCCCCCTGGAGATGATAATTACTTTAATTCTTCACTTCCATCGTTTTCCGTGTAACTAGTCTTAGTGTTTTCTATCAGGTTTGTCGTATGCTTTTTCGTCCAACATCAGATATTCCACCAGTTTCAGAAAACTCCCTCCTGGGGCCTGTGTTCTCCAGCTGCAGCCTGACTGACTGCTCTCTGGGCCTGTGGCACGGCTGTCACACGAGATGCCCTGTCATGACTGTAGTTCCCGTGTCCTGGGTCCTGTGTCTTCCTTCTCAGAGATGAGCTCCCCCATTTCGCTGGAACATATCCTCCTGCAATGTCCTAAGAGAAGGTATAGGGGTATGAGATAGATATATAGATATAGATATAGATATGTTACAGGTCTGAACATGTCTTTATTCTACCCTCACACTTTTTTAACAGTTTGGTTAGGTATAAAAGTCTTAGGCTAAAGATGATTGTCCCTCAGAGTTTTGTTGCCTTCCCGCAAACAGTACAGACACTGAGAAAGCTGATGCCATGCTGACTGCACTCTCTTTGTGTGGCACCCGCTGTTTCCCCCTGGAAACATGTAGGATCTTCTTGTTATTTCTGGTGTTCCAAAAGTGTCATGCCATTGCGCCTTGGTCCAGATCTCTTTTTCATCTGTTGTGCACGCCATTCAATGGACCTTTATTGTTTGGAATTATGTGTCCTTCAGTTTGGGAATCTTTTAATTTTTTCCTCTCTATTTTCTGTGTAAGCTGCTTCTGGAAATCCAGTAAATCATACCTTGTATTTCCTGAATTGATTCTCTAAATACTGATGTATTTTCTCTCCTTTGTCTGTTTGTATTTTTTCTACTTTCAGAGAAATTTCTGGAATTTTATAGCCCAACACTTACATGAAATTTTTTGTTTTCGCGCTTCATTTTTTTCTCTGCTTATTTTTCCAGTGTCCTGTCCTTGTCATATGGCTGCAGTGACCTCTCTTATCTCTTTGAAACAATAATAATTATATTTGTTTTAATTTTACTCTGTTCACAGCATTGTCTTATTTCCTCCAAAAGCATCTTTTTAAAAAAATTGTTTGTTTTGATCTATTTTTCATAGAGGAAACCATTCTCAAATATCTCGTACTTTTTGGCTATTTTAGAATATTTTAAGAATGAAATCCTAAAAAGCTGATTGAGTGAAATTCTGTGTAGATGGGGCTCATTGATCATTGGACGTCACTGTAGGGGTCAGGCGAGTGTGGCTTGTCTGTCGGGGGCTCTCAAATGTCGACCCCTGGAGGCCTTCTCTCTGGGCCTGGCTGCCAGCGTGCTGAGGTCAGGGCAGGGCACGCAGGGCTGAGGTTCCCAGCATGCCGTGTGTCGACCTTCGCTTGACTCACTGCCCGCTTCAGGCGCGTGCTCTGAACTACCTGCGGAGCACCTGCTCCCTCTAAGACCTGCTTCTGAGACGGTTGCGCTGAGCCTTTGGCTTCTTTCCTGCCTGTCTTCCCTCTGCAGCGTTGAGACTGAAGTTCCTCCACTCGGCCTGAGCCTGCTCCTTCCACTTTGTCTTTTAAAAATTTGTTCTCATCTCTTTTCCACTGATGTTTCCTCTTTGTCCTTGAGAATTTATAAAAATTTTCCCTTTCCTATGACTTTCATATGGTTTAGGGAGGGGGAGACATGACCTCTAATGGAATTTTTATTCTATATCCACTTAATTGCATATTTTTCTGTTTTCTTTAAATCTTTTCCCCTTATCTTCCCTCTCTCCATCTCCTCTGCTTCCATCCTTTGCCCCCAGTAACCAGTGTATTAACAGCCTGATATATGTCTGTCCACATGTTTTTATATGCTCATACAATCATATTTAAGCATATAGAGAGAGAGAGAGGAGGGTTTTTTCATCACTTGTTTCCATAGAAAATTGGATTATATGATAAAAAGTTCTTTGCAACTTATTTTTCTCACTCATGAACACATCCTGGGTGTCACTCTAGGCCAACAGATATCTATATAACTAATTCTTTTTAATATTTACAGAATATTCCATAGTAGATGGCAATCTGTTCAACCATTTCTGTTTTGATAGCCATTGAGATTTAAACATTATTCAGCCGTTCCTGCTTCAATATCACAGAAAAAGAGGGACAGTTACCCATTTTTAAAGCTAGCATAAACTTAATTCTAAAACTTGATAAACTGTATACAAAAAGAGGAAACTATGGACCAACGTCACTTTTGAATATAAATACAAACAATTCTATATAAAATATTAGCGAATTTAATCTAGCAGAATATGCTAGCATAATGCACCATAACCAAGTAGGATTTATGCCAAGAGTGCAGAGTTGGTCCGTTATCAGCAAATCTACCAACGTAATTCATTAGATCAATAAATTAAAGGAGAAAATCTACAAAGTTATGTAAATAAATGCTAGAGAGGTATTTGATAAGGGTCAGAAGCTGTTGTAATAACAACTATAAGCAAAATAGTAATAGACAAAATTTATGTACAATGATGACTATCAAAAACCAAAACCAAAAACAGTGTTATGGTGGCATAGCAAGCTATTCCATCAATCACAGGCATTAGAAGAGGACACCCTCCAGCGTCTTTGTTAATCAACTGACCGTGTTTTCAAACCCTCCCAGCTTCCTCTCAGTCTACTGAAGACAAGAGCCTTTCATCATGCGCATCGTCTTGCAGTGGCTTCTGAGTAGCTGCCAGTGGATAATAGAGAGTTACCCAAAATGAGTGTCTGTTTTCCTTTCTAGAAGAGCTCCCCATCTCAAGGTGAAAAAACCAGTTTCTTGTCCTCTGTGCCCTGGTCCTAGGAGTTTCAGGTGGGAGAAGAAATGAGAGCGTTCAGGGAGTGATAATCTCACCATTCAGGAAAGAGAGATGCTCGTTAGAGTGAGCAGAGGCAGCTAGATGGATTTCGTTGTTGAACAAGTGAGGAGGGCCCAGAGGGCTGTGATGGCCCTAGCTGAGAACTAATCACCAGGAGCTGGATAGGATACAGAAAATCTGGACCCTGAGGGCTTATGAACTGGTGTCCCACAAAGGGAGGATACGGACCAATGGCACGCTTAGACTCGGTCCTGAGCGTGCTCCAGGATACTATCTCTACATCCACTTTGTGAATGACCCCTGGTGCCATAGTGTTTTGTCCTTCCCATCATGAACCCTGCCCCTCCGCTCCCTCTTGAGAGGAAGACAGGTGCTGACCCCAGTACCCTATTCACAGGCATATACCACATCTCTCTGCGTCCTTAACATTGTGTTTCTGGTCTGCTTCAACATCTGACTTTCTGCCCCACGTGACGTGTTTGGTCCATTTGCCAGTTAAGATAGGTGGAAACACCTGAGCCTGAGTTCTTTCCTTGCTCCACTGCCAAATGGGAATGTGTGGAGGTCACCCGTTACAATACTAGCTTCTGTTTATTGAGTACTTGCCATATGCCAAGCTCTAAAGAAGGGGAGCCAGTAGTTAAAGAGCCGCCATTGTGTGCTAGACACTGGACAAATATTGTCTCATTTAGCAGGCAGTGCGATGGTTCTCTGGGCACTGCAGCCAACGAAATTCCTCATAATGATTCTTTTAGGGCTCCTGGTGAGCTGCCTGCTGAACAGTGCAGTAGCCGTGTATTATTTTATTTAATTGTGTAAAATATGAATACATTCCCATTGTTTGAAATCTTTTGCAATACAGATACGTTAGAAGTGAAAAGTGGAAGGCTCCCTCACCCACACTACTGTGGCCAACAGCCCATCTCCTGCCCCATGATCTTTATTTATATTTGTGTCATTTAATTCTCAACAACGCTATCAAGTTGGTATTATGGTTATTCTGATTTTACAGTTAAAGAAATGGAGGCTTGGCGATGTTAGATAAAGTCACTTAGCTGGTAAGTGGTGGTGAAGCGACACCTCCGGGGGTAGGTGTGTGTGTCCAGAGCGGAGTCAGCTAGCCAAACTGAAGCTCAGTGATGCCATTTCCCTCCTGTTTGTAATTGGGGCTTCTACATTCGGCCCTCGGGATCTCCTCTGGGTTAGAGAGTCAATACAAATTGCCAGACTGGGAGGCAGTATAGTGTAATATTGGTACTTGAGTTCCTTCATTTATAAAACGGAGCCAAGGGCACTTTATCGTTAAGTGTGCTATGAGGATGAGTGAGATGATATCTATGTCACCCAGAACAGTCTGGCACACCTTCCCTGGGGGAGTTTGTCGGGACTCAGTGGATTTCCATAGCTGATCCTGTCACAGAGCCTGTAGTTTTTGTCCCCCTCCTGCAGCACTGAAACCGAAGGCTGGAAGCCTCAGGAGAGGCGGAGGCCTGTTCAGCCAGATGCCCTGAGAGAACCCTCTTTGTGGCTTTTCAAGTCGGGAAGTTCCCAGCTCACAACAGTTACTCCAAAAGTGTCAGTTCCATTTTGCCATCCACTGTGCCTGCCTCTCCTGCTCTGTGAGGAGAATGTTGTCTCCCACTCCCAAGAGTGCCCCCAGAACGTGAGAAGGGAGAGCTGTGTGCATTTCATTCTCGAGAATGAGCCGGGGAAAGCGTCTGGAGCCTGGCTTGTGAATTAAAGTTCTTTCACACTGTAATTACCTCCTCCTTGTTTCCACAGGGGCTGAACTGCACAGTCAAGAATAGTAAGTCGTCTGGTTTGTTCCACTTGTTGTTGCTTTGTCAATCAAGTGCTCACCTCGTGCTCATCTCTGACGGACGCGCTGCCACTCGCTTCTGGTGTAGGCCGAGGGTTACAGCCTGCAGCAGGAAGGATCCTTGCGAATCTAGGGTGCATGCACCTGGGCTTCCCCTCATGCGTGTTCGTCATGCAGAAGTCAGGAAGTGAGAGGCGGCACTGTCGCCAGGACTGTGAGCGCCCTCCGGGAGCTGCTCCAGCGGGTCAGCACGGTCACTGGGGGGCTGTGAGCGCCCTCCAGGAGCTGCTCCAGTGGGTCTGCACGGTCACTGGGGGGCTGTGAGCACCCTCCGGGAGCTGCTCCAGTGGGTCTGCACGGTCACTGGGGGGCTGTGAGCGCCCTCCGGGAGCTGCTCCAGGGGGTCTGCACGGTCACTGGGGGGCTGTGAGCGCCCTCCGGGAGCTGCTCCAGTGGGTCTGCACGGTCACTGGGGGGCTGTGAGCACCCTCCGGGAGCTGCTCCAGTGGGTCTGCACGGTCACTGGGGGGCTGTGAGCACCCTCCGGGAGCTGCTCCAGTGGGTCTGCACGGTCACTGGGGGGCTGTGAGCGCCCTCCAGGAGCTGCTCCAGTGGGTCTGCACAGTCACTGGGGGGCTGTGAGCGCCCTCCGGGAGCTGCTCCAGCGGGCCTGTGATACAGGTAGATTTGCCAGAGCTCAGCACTGGAAAGCGAGAGCCGTCTGTGGTGTTGATTTTGGTTTGTGTTTTAATGCAAGAAGGAGGCACATATTTCAAGTGTCTGTGCTCCTTAGGGACCCCTGGCATATACAAATAAAGCAACACTGTTACCTCGCCATCTCTCCTGTGCCCCCATTTCCCACCACTGCTTCATCTCACAACCAAGTCGTGTGCTTTGTCCTCTCTCTTCAAATGCCCTGTAGACTTCTGAGCTTTGCAGTGACCCCAGACAAACATTAGAAAAGAGGAGGCTGGGTGGGGAAGCTGAGAACCCACCAAGGGTCCCAGGCTCCTGACTGTTCAAAATCCAGCTCTCTGGACCCACTGCTGGGGCATCTTGTCTGTGTGCTTGTCTCTTGCAGTTTCTTCAGTTTTTTGCAGAGCATGCAAGTCTCTGATTTCTGCTTTTCCTGGCTACCAGGCACCTGCCTGGATGACAGCTGGCTCCACCCTCCACACCTGACCCCCTCCTCCCCAAAAGACGTCCAGATCCAGCTGCACTTTGCCCACACCCAGCAAGGAGACCTGCTCCCTGTGATTCACATCGAATGGACACTGCAGACAGATGGTGAGTGGGCATGTCAGCCGGGCCCTGGGGGAGCCTGCCCACCTCCAGGTGAATCTGCAAACTAGCCCTGGCCCTCCCATCAGACTCAGAATTGGGCTCCTAGTCCCGCACTCAGACATGAGGGCCCAAATTTAGTGCTGAAAGGACCCATCATTTCATGCAGTGCATACTTTTTCAGTGTTTTAGGCATTAACGCATGATGATATCTTCTCATCCCACCATCCTTCATGAAAGGCCTTCCTTTGGCCTAAAATCTCTATCACCCTGGGGGGGAAAAGTCAAGTGGTTAATTCTCTGACTTCAGTACTAAACATTTGCTGGAAAAATGGTAACACATTTGCCAGCCTGCTTTTCCCCTTAGTTTAGGGGCTGGAACTTCTTAAAACAACATTTCCCAAAGCTTTTCAAGGGTAGACACTTGTATTACAGGATTAGAAAGATTGGGGTTAAGAAGAGCCAGCCCCAGAGGTGTGAACAGGGCCGGAGGAGTTCTCTGTAAACTGGCTGCTGCCCCCTCAAGGACGGCAATGCCCGTGTTTGACGTGCCACGTTGCTGAGGCCTTGGCCACAGATTTGCAAAGCGTTTGCCTCTAGCCCAGTGTAAAATATCTCTTGTCCTTCTCCAGCTGGGAAGTGTCTGCAAGGCTGTAGGCTGCTCAGGCCCAAGAGTGAGCTAGAAGAAACGGGAAGTGGAGGGTTGAGTAAGATGGGCAGATTTTCTCTTAACAGTGAGCAAGCATAACAGACAGGGAAGTGGCACACCCAGCGGTGTGTGGTCTGCATCTGTCTCCTCCCCTCCCTCTGACCTTCAGCCAGCATCCTGTACCTGGAGGGTGCAGAGTTATCTGTCCTGCAGCTGAGCACCAATGAACGTTTGTGTGTCACGTTTGAGTTTCTGTCCAGACTGAAGCACCATCACAAGCGGGTAAGGCCGACTCCGGAGCGGGTCACGTCCATCTGAGGACAGTGAGGAGCAGAGCATGTTTTGAAAACTTCCCAGACCTGCCTCCCCCTGCTTTTCCTTCCAACCGTACCTACCTGTTCATTGTGAAGGAAGTTGAAAGGGAAGACAGCTTGCACACCGCCCTCCACCTTTATTCATAACCGAGATCAATCTGGGGCCTGCCTCCAGCAAGGAAGACATTGTCCAGACCAGAGGACTGCGGGGGGTGGGTAAAATGTTGATTCTCCCTTAGTTCGTTTAAAGCAGTGGTTCTCAATCTACGGCCCCAGGACCAGCAGCACCAGCATCCCCTGGGAACTTGTTAGAAATGCAGGTTCTGGGCCCCACCCTACACTTCCTGAATCAGAAGCTCTGAGGGTGCTTAACAACCCCCCAGGTGATTCTGATCCAAGCTCAAGTTTGAAAACTGCTAGTTTAAATCTGCAAAACGTGGCTATTTGCATACTTCCCACCAACACAGCAGCCAAGACAGAGCCCCTCTCCCATGCTTCATGCTTCATTGGGACCAGACCTGCCGGCTGGGTGGATGGTGAGGACTAGTGGCCTAGATCTACTGAGAAGCAAAGTCAGTATCTGTAATCTGCAACAAGCAGAAAATCTCTGCACAGATTCTGTCTCTGCAGCAAAGGCTCTGTGGGCGCAGGGTGAGCGAGACTGTTTATAGTCCTCCCTCCCACTTTTGTGCTCTAGGACATTCTCACGAGATGCCTGGCTTTCCCATTTAAGAAGGAAGTCATTTAGCAAATAGTTTTTAGCTGCGGCTGGCGTGCCAGCTCCCCCAACAGCCCCAGTCCTCTGGCCCGGCTCCCTCACACCCCCTCCCGGGGTGTGAGAGGGCTGGTGGGGAGGAGGCCTCTGTTGCCTTTCCCCAGATTCTCTTGCATATGACACTGCTGTCCACTGAGGAGGCCAGGCCTAGGTTTTTAAAATAGGCAGGAAGGACCAGAGGAAACAAAAACAGAGTTACAGATGCCTCTGATTTTGCATCTTGTTGTGATCTTCCTGTTTTTGAGTGATCTTTTGGGGGCGAGTGGGGTGGGGTTTTTGGGCAAGGCGGGTGAGAGGTGTGTGTGTGACCTGTCCAACCTCCGCCTCCTCCCTTCTTTTCAGTGGCGTTTTACCTTCGCTCACTTTGTGGTAGAGCCTGGCCAGGAGTACGAGGTGACCGTCCACCACCTGCCCAAGCCTTTCCCTCACGGGGACCCAAACCACCAGTCCAGGAACTTCCTCGTGCCTGGTAAGAGCGCCCTCCCACCAGTCCAGGAACTTCCTCGTGCCTGGTAAGAGCGCCCTCCCAGGCCATTGCCTGACCACTCGGCTCTGCAGAAGAAACCAGCAGGTGGCTCGTCTGCCCCTCTGCTTGGCTGGACGGTGGCTGCCGTTGTGTGCGTGTGGCGTATCCACAGAACGAACCCATGCCAGGGGTGGGAGCTCTTCGGGGCACGGCTGCAGCCTCTGCTGCCTAAAGGCAGAGCTGGTTCCCTGTTGGCACAAACGGTGGGTATTGGGCTAAGACCCCAGGCGTTCTCTGGCAGCTGGAGTCCCTCCCTCCGTCTAGAGGAGCACGCTTCCTGCCCAGAAAGTACCGGGAAGACAAGCCACTCTCGGAAGAGTTGTAACCCTGCTCCCAACCGAGTTCCAGCGCTCATCACCTTGTCCTTCGCTTTTTATCCGTCATCCTGCCTGCATGTATCTAACGCCGTCCCACGTATGACGCCGTCTCCCCTCCCCTCTAATCCGTCCTGCCTGTGAGCACTGCCAGCATCACCCTCTAAACACTTTTTATGTGTGTGCACCTTCGGTTCTCCGTCCTCCCCGGAATCTCGGCCATAGCCTGCAGTAGTTCTCATCGCTCAAAGTCAGCCACATCTGGACCCCCAGCCTGTTCATGCGGTCTCCAGAACCCCACAAATCACTTTGCATATGGTGATCACAAAGTGCTTGTTGAGGATGGTGATGGCCTTCTTCATCCCTGGAGCAGCCCCACCCCCCCCACACACACACTATCTGCTTACCCTGCTTTATTTTTCTTCATGTTACTCATCACTCCTGGCATTTTACTGTCATGATATAATTATGACAGCGTGTCATGCTGTTTGCTTGTTTTTGTTGGTCTCTTCGACTGGAATGTGATCTCCGGGGTGGGGACTGTGTCTTATTCACCACCGGATTGCCAGTGCCTCAAACAGTGCCTGGCACGTAGTGGGTACTACATAAGTATTTGTTGAGTGAGCGAATCTCTCAGTCCCCTCCCCTGTTCCTAAAGTGGACTGACTCAGTGCCTGTCATTCCTCTGCGACTCATACCTGTCACATGTCTTCTTAAACCAAAGCGAAAATGTTAGAGTCAGGGAAGTTGGGGGAGGGGATCAAGAAGATAACTGGAGCAAAAGTCCTTAAGGTGGTGCCTGGACCAGCAACATCATCCAGTTACCTGGGAGCGTGTTGAAAGTGCAGCTTCTCAGGACCTACCCCAACCTGCTGAATCAGAAACTACTGATGATGATACACACAAAAGTTTGAGAAATGTTGCCATGGAGAAACAAAGTGCTTCTCCCCGTGTGAAAAGGCAGAGGCAGCCCTGGAGAGGAAGCTGCGGTGGGGAGAGAAGGAACTGGAGTGGACCGAGGCCCTCGGCCACCCAAAGCAAGCTCAGGAGGAATACACTTGAATCTGGAATGTTCCCTGAGAGAGGAGAGATGAGACAAGCAGTCAGCCCTCAGTTCTCTGGGACCCCTGGCCAGTAGCAGTGGGCCAGTCCTAGAGCTTGCTTTGAAGGGGCCATCTTTGAACAGGCTCCCCAGAAGGGAAAAAGCAGTTATCACTTGTGTCAGGAGTCTGGAAGCCAAGTTTCTAAGGCAGACACTTAACGGTTTCACTTTTTTCTGGGCCGCAGACTGCATGGACCCCAGGATGAGGATAACCACGCCGTGTGTGAGCTCAGGTAACTGCGCTGGGCGGGCTGGGCGAGAGTGCTCTCCCTGGTTGCAGGCACACCACGTGCGTGCAAGCCCTCTCCTCACTTGCACCCTCCCTCTGTGCCCTGGGCAGGCAGCCTGTGGGATCCCAACATCACTGTGGAGACCCTGGAGGCCCACCGGCTACGGGTGGACTTCACCCTGTGGAATGAATCTGCCCGTTACCAGATCCTGCTGAGCAGCTTTCCACACATGGAGAACCAGAGCTGCTTTGATGACGTACAAAATATACTCAAGGTGACTCTCTGCCACCTTCTTACCCCTCTAGCAGCTCAGAACCACCTCTCCACACCTCCAGTCTCCCTGACTGTCCTGCCAGAACTGCGGTTCGAGGAGCTCAGCACTCAGTACTGTGCTCGGTCAGTACTGACCCCGGGCTGCTGCTCTTCTCCTTTCCTGTGCTGTGAGCTGATGCCTAGTGGGTCCTCTTGCTCCTACAGCTGATCCTACATCTGACGGGCTGGAGTTGGTCTCTGCCTACGCCCTACCCAGGCCTTCTTGTTCTCCCCACCCCACGTTCTCCCCTATTCTCTGTTTTGCTTTGTTTATTCCACTTATTCCAAAAATCATTTGAAGATTTGAAAAATGTGGAAATTAAGACAAAGGGGAAGTATAGGTGGAGAAATAAGATGAAGCCAGGGTGCAGTTAGTGCAGAAAATGTGTGCTGTGCTGCCGGACGTGAGCACAGAGTTGTCTCTGTGATCCTGGCAGCCAAAGCAGAGAGGGGACTGCTGGTCACCAGATGTGTTCATGAGTTAACAACAAAGCTGTGCCCCAGGGACGTGTAGCTTCTCCCAGAACCGAAACCCGAGGAGCAGTTGTCCCTGTGGCCCTCCCGAGGGTGAGCGGGACAGCAGTGGGCAGCGTTCTCTCAGCTTCCTTGGCGGACGCGGCAGGTTCTCATTCAGCCAGTCGTCCGCATCCACCCCTCTCTCCTCAGCACACACCAGAGGCTTCCCACCAGCGGGCCAACATCACGCTCACCCTATCCGACTTTAATTGGTGCTGCCGCCACCACGTGCAGGTGGGTGAATGTGGTATGGACAGGTGTGGGAGGGCACAGGTGGCCATTTCTGCTAGATGGGCAAGGAGAGGAGGAGGGCAGCTCGTGGACCGGTGCTCTCTCCGAGGACCCAGCCCGCTGCTGTCTGGTATTCCCTGCCTGACGAGGCATCAGCTGCCTTCGCCAGCCGTGCCCTCCCAGCCCCATCTGGCAGGGGTGCTTTGAGCCCCTCTTGCTGATGGGCGATCTGGAGATTCTGCAGTAGCCAACTCAGGTCTCTGACTCTCAAATAGCCTGTGCTGGCGAGAAAGCCTCTGTGTGGGCTGGGGGCCTACGTCTCCTCCGCGTCTCAGAGTCCTGCTCTCTCCGCTCTTCCTGCCCTCACAGATCCAGCCCTTCTTCAGCAGCTGTCTGAACGACTGCCTCAGACACACTGTAACCGTACCCTGCCCGGAAATTCCAGATACTCCAGGTAGGAAGCCTATGGCTGTCCTGGGATGTAGTTGCGGGTGAGAATGGATAACAGTCAACAGCTTGAGCTGAACCCTGCCCTGGTCCTAAGGGTGGGTGCAGAGTGTAATTTAACTTGGAGTTATTCAGGCCTGCAGTGTGGGGCTTTAGAGAGACACTCTACTGGGTTGGACTCTTGACTGCCTTTCACTAGTGTAGCCCCAGACAAAGTACTTAACCTTTCTGATCCTCAAATTCCATGACTGGGAAAATGAGGGTTGTTATCATCATAGAGTTGCAGTTTTGCACCACTTAGCCAAGCGCTGTAGCATGTCGTCGATTTCCAATCCTCACAAACTGTGAGTCATAGTACTATGAAGGGAGACTCTCTCCCCCAGGTTCATAGATGAGGAGACTGAGGCAGAGAGATGTTACATAACTTGTCCCAGATCACACACCAAGGAAGTGGCAGAGGCCTGGTTTCTGGCCTGAGCCCATGAGAGTCGGCAGCCCCTCCCTCCCCCTGTACTGCCTCCCACTTCTGGTTCAGAAGCCTTCTGCAGCCCGACGTGTGGCCACAGCCAAGTGCCGATCAGTGACAGAGATTGCACTGGCCTGGATGAGAGCCCTGGCCTCCCAGGTGGGAGCGGGCGTCCCTTATTAGACTAACTTGTTTCACGGCAATGGTTTCATTATGTTGAACTCGTACCTAAAGTGCTCGGGGTAGGGTCAGGGTCATCTGCAGGCCCCCAGTGATGTCAGTGACGATTTTTGTGATTACTGCTAATGATTAAGAATACTGTTTTGCCTTTGTTCTCATTGCAGACTCGACTGCAGGTAAGTCCAGCTCGCCTTCCCATAGTGCTGCAGGAGTCCTCAGGGGCCACGTGGGAAGTCCCTGACCATGCCTTGTACGGAGCCGGGCAGACAAGGCTGAGCCAAGAGGCAGCCCAGGGGTGGGTGAGACGGTCAGCATGCCATGATGTGGGCCAGAGAGGACAGCCCAGGGCCAGCCATGGGCCCCGGGACCTCAGTGTTGGCAGAGCAGGCCTCCCCTGCCATGTCACTCGTGCTGTTCTGCTTGCCACAGACTATATGCCGCTGTGGGTGTACGGGTTCATCACGGGCCTCGTCGTCCTGCTGGTGGCTTCCGTCATCCTGCTGGTCGTCTGCATGGCCTGGAGGCTGCCTGGTAAGTGCAGGGGCTGTGGGAGCCAGTCCTGGGGCTTTCCCCTCTGTTCCTCTTTCTCCCCATGTCCCCTCTTCCCCCTCCATTCTCTGCGAGACTGTGCTCAGAGGGGACCCTTCAATTCCAGCCCTTCAACCTCAACCTAAGTACAGACATTGCGCCTCTTAGGCCTCGCCTTGGTTGTCAAGAACTCAGAGCCTACAGTCAGGCTGACCTGGGCCCAAATACCAGCTCCACCACTTACTATCTGGGCAAATTACTTAATTCTCTGAGCCCCAGGTTCCTCTTCTGTAAAATGGAAATTATAGTGATACCCACATCGTAAAATGGTTGTAAGGATTAAGTGAAATAGTGCCTCTGAATTTTGCACATGATACGTGCTCAGTATATATTGGCCACAATTGTATCTATTGCTACTAAAATTAGTCTTATTAAAATCAACAGGCTGGAAGCAGCTGGGGAGTCCCTGCATCAGAAGTGACTAGCCAGGCAGGTGGAGCAGCCTGAGCGGCGCCCTCCTGCAGCCCCTAGGCTTGTGCATGTGAGGCGAGCAGAGCAGCCAGGGGCAGCACAATGTGCTAGAGGAGGCTCGGGTAGACCCAGAACCCACGGGGGTGGACCCAGCTCTGCCTCATGGGTTTGCAGGCTTAGGAAGTTGCTTCCCAAACCTTGGACTTGGTTTTCTGCTCTGTAAGGCGGGATAAGAGCGCCTCCCTGTCAGGGCTGTGGTGAAGATCAAATGGTAGTGCTGACAAAGGTGCTTGCTGGTGGATGTTAATAATGTCGCTGCCCTCTCTCCCTGCAGCCCTCTCTGGCCAGGTCCTAAGCAGGAGAGAACATGGGTCTTCGGCTTAGGGGCCGGCCTCCCCTGCCCCTCCGCGACCCTAGGCTGTTTCCTCAGTGACCTGGACTGTCGTTTCCACACTCACAGGCTTGTCAGGATCAGCTATTCGCCATTATTAATTATTGTACATGGAAAGAACCACACGCCAGCCACGCAAAGATCTAGTGGGAGGGCCCTTCCCCAGGGGACTACTCACATCTCTACAGGGCTTGAGAAACCATCGAGTCCTCTGGAGGTGTCTGGGGGCTTTTTGTTTCGTTTCTGCCGCTGCACTTCTGGCCTTTCCCCGAAGCGCCCCACGCTGCAGGGTGAAGGCAAGGACAGGAGACACCTCGCTCGTGGTTTGACTGTCTTTTGACAGTTCTGGGAAGAGGCCGAGGGGGTGGGGATTGAGATTGGGGTTCCAGTGTCATCCTCGGCCATCTGTGGGTTCCGTTCCCCCGTCCATGTCCCCAAGGACTTGACTCATGCACCAGTTTCCTTCGTCGCATCTCTGAGGGGAGCCGTTCGTTCCCCTTCCTCACCTCCCGAAAAATACCAGGAGGAAATGTTGTCAGCAGGCCTGGTGGGGGCTGCTTCTAGAGATGTCTTGTAAGATTTTGCCTCCTGAAGTGGGGAGTCTGCTTGGGGGTGGCCAATCTGGGGGGATGGAGGGCACAGAACTGTGGTGAGGCGCCGGCATGGACCCCCAGTCAGCATCCCGGGGGCCCCACTGGGTGGGTGTGTGGAATCGTTGCCCCCAGCTGACTGAGCACGTCCAATGTGCTGGGCACTCCACATGAAATCCCCTAACACACCCATTTCACAGAGGAGGAGACTGAGCTTCAGAGGGTGAGTAACCTTCCCAGCTCACAGCTCGCAGTGGCCGACCCGGGATCCGCACCGGACCTACTCCATGGTGCATCTCCCTGCAAAGGCCCGGAGGTGTCTGGGAGCCACTGCCTCGGGCGCCCTCCCTGTCGTGGGCCCTGGGTCAGGACTGGAGCAGTGCTCCCGTCAGATGCCCCTGTGAGCTGGGCCCTATTTCTCTTCCAAAAGAGCCACTCTGATGTATTTCTTTTCTTTCTAGGGTCTCATCATGAAAAATACGGTAATGACACCAAAAACACAGGTGAGTATTTGTGGTTGGATGGGCTGGGTTGGGGTGTGTTTTAAAGCTGTGGTGGAGATTCTCTTGAGATGCTTGGGGGGCAGCCTTCTGCAGTGCGACCCTGAGTCCCTTCAGGGGACCTCGCCTCCAGAGGACCCGCCTCCAGCACCCCAGATGGAAGGGACTTCAAATGGCAAGGCTGGGCTAACATTTTTTTAATCACTTACGAAGGGAAGGGAGGCGTACCGTATTTTGTGAAAAGAAGTCCTCCCTGTAACAGATATTTCTATTCCATAGGCAGGCCTTTGTGCCTTTTTTCCTTTTTTAATTAAAATAATTAGAGTAAAGGCCAGAGGCCAGTTAAGAAGATGAGAGAGAGAGATTCTTTTTCCAGAAGGCACCAGACTGTTTTTTTAGCAAAACAGATGAAACAGCAATATTCGGCTTCTTCCAAGGCCCCAGTGCATTTCTTGGGCAAGAGAGCCAAGCTCCACCTGGCCAGGTCCCTCCCAGGTCGGCCAGTGGGGGGTGCTGCCCTCGGCCTTGGTGTGAGGATCCATGCAGGCACACACCTAAACCTGCGGGCTTGGCTCCCCTTGTTTCCCTCAGAAGTCCTGCCTGCTGCCGGCCTGACTCCCCCACCCCTGAAGCCCAGGAAGGTCTGGATTGTCTACTCCGCCGACCACCCCCTCTATGTGGATGTGGTCCTAAAGTTTGCCCAGTTCCTGCTCACCGTCTGCGGCACTGAAGTGGCCCTCGACCTGCTGGAGGAACAGGTTATCTCAGAGGTGGGCGTCATGACCTGGGTGGGCCGCCAGAAGCAGGAAATGGTGGAGAGCAACTCCAAGATCATCATCCTGTGCTCCCGAGGCACCCAGGCCAAGTGGCAAGCCATCCTGGGCTGGGAGGAACCCGCCATCCAGCTTCGGTGTGACCACTGGAAGCCCGCCGGGGACCTTTTCACGGCGGCCATGAACATGATCCTACCAGACTTCAAGAAGCCAGCCTGCTTTGGCACCTACATCGTCTGCTACTTCAGTGACATCAGTGGTGAGAGTGATATCCCTGACCTCTTCAACATCACCCCCAGGTACCCACTCATGGACAAGTTTGAGGAGGTGTACTTCCGGATCCAGGACCTGGAGATGTTTGAACCTGGCCGGATGCACCGTGTTGGGGTGCTCGCAGGTGAAAATTACCTGCAGAACCCCAGCGGCTGGCAGCTCAGGGAAGCTGTGGAGAGGTTCCGGGAGTGGCAGGCTCAGTGGCCTGACTGGTTTGAGCGTGAGAACCTTTGCCTGGCAGATGACCAGGACCTCCCATCCCTGGACGAAGAGGTGTTTGAAGAGCCACTGCTGCCACCGAGAGGAGGGATCATCAAGCAAAAGCCTCTGGTGCGGGAGCCTGCCTCTGAGGGCTGCCTGGTGCTAGATCTGCTTGTCGGTGAGGAAGGAAGAGGAATGTCAAGGCTGGAACCTCAGCTTCAGCCCCAGGGGGAGCTGGCAGCCCAGACCCTGCAAACTACAGTGGTCCCTGTGAAGATCCCTCCAGCTCAGGCAGTGGAACCCGTCCCTGGAGCTGTGGAGGGCCACGCAGCCAGCCGGTTCGCCGTGGTGGAGGGTCAGGAGGCCTGCCCACTGCTGGAGGGCTGTGGCCCCCAGCGGAACAGTGTCCTCCTCCCTGACTCAGAGGACCTGCCTCTCTACAGCACCCCACCGGCGTCACCCGACCACCTCCCAGAGGACGTGAGGGAGCAGCTTGAAGACTTGATGTTCTCACTCTTCCAGCAGAGTCTGAGCTGCCAGGCCCAGGAGCGGTGGAGGAGGCCAGCCGTGGCCCTGCAAGGCCCACACACACCCTGCGAGGAGGGCCAGCGGCAGTCCGTGCAGTCAGACCAGGGCTATATCTCCAGGAGCTCCCCGCAGCCGCCCGACGGACTTACAGAGATGGAGGACGACGGAGAGCAGGACCTGGGAAAGTCGGCTGAGCCACTCTCTCCTGAGGACCTGGAGAGCCTGAGAAGCCTTCAGCAACAGCTTTTCTTCCAGGAGCTTCGGAAGAACTCTGGCTGGGACAGTGTGGAGCCAGAGACGCCGGCCTTGTAGGGGCCTCCCAGACCCAGAGCACTGAGAGAAAGGTGTGTGTGTGTTCATGGGTACACACGTGTGTCTGTAGATGTATATACGTTCGTGTGTGAGCTGTGTACCTTTAAAATGTAGACATCTTGATTCTGATCCCAGGGTATCCCCCTTAACTTTTCTTTCTCTGACCATCTGGTCATCTTCTGTCCCCACAAGAATCCACAGCTCATTCCCAGGAGCTGATGACACAGTGTCCCTAAGTCCCCATCATTCATTCATTCATTCAGCTTTATTTTGCACCTACTACATGGCAGGCATCTGAGATGGAAAGATAAATTACACTGGGCACGGCCCTGGCCACCAAGGAGCTTAATATTTAGTGAGAGCAGCAGATTAGACAGAGGATGGTCATGCAAGATGTAAGGGCTGAATGGAAGCCCACCCAGGGCTCTGAAAACACCCCAAAGGGGCCCCTGGCCCAGGGAGAAATTCCTGGAGGAGGTCATGTAGGAGCTGAAGAAGCTGGTTTGCTGGGCCAAGACCTTGTAGTGGGGCAGGCAGCAGTCCCAGGAGAGGGAGGAGCAGCCTGTGGCGAGGGCTGGGAGCGGAGTGGGGAGCTGCAGCTGAGCCTGGAGCGGAAGGAGCCAGAGCCCAGCTGGGAAGACCTTGTGGCCAGGCTGGGAGGCGGGCCGTCAGCCCAAAGGCCTGGGACTCCTTTAATAGGATGAGCTGTGGCCCTGCAGAGCAGAAGGCTGAGGGCCACACGTACCAGAAGCCACCTCGGATCGTTTTTGGAAAGAGACAAGATAGAAATGTATGATGTGAAACCTAACAGCCTTCAGCAGGGAGAAAACTCAAATCCTAAGCTCACGTTTTGGCAGTCAGTCAATGGGAGAGCTCCAGCAAAGCGTTCTTCAGGGGCTGCCTGGCTGAGTCCCTGGGCTCTGGAAGCACAGGAACTGGGAGCCCTCAGCTCCACACGGTGGTCCGATGCAGGGTGAGTTGAGTGTGGGATATGGAGGGCCCGCAGCAGGGTGGGGAGGCGGGGCGGAGTGGGAGTGGGAGGGCAATGAGGACCTGGCAGGCGCATTGACGAGAGAGGAGAGTGTGTCACTCTGCACTTAGAGGTCTGTGGTTCAAAGACATTTGAGGAGAGATGGTAAGGCTCAGTGTTGGAAGGAGTTGTCCCTGAAGTGCCTCCTTGGGAGAGACTGAAGTCTTCTGTCTATCTGGGCGTCCCAAAGAGCACGCTGGGATGCCGTCTTCCCTTGGAATTGAATGTCCTCCGTTGTCTATACCTGAGTCCTTAACTATAGCTCCAGGTTTCAACAAGCAGGAGAGGATTCTGAAATGTGATGGGACACCACCTGTCAGGGGTGTACATGTGTGCACGCATACACACACACATACATATATGTGAAAGATTATCAATAAAAGAATGAATGAATTTGTTAACTCTGGGAAGATTTCCTGGTGCTTATTTTGAGTCATATGTTACTATAGGTCAAGAAGTTCCTAGCTCTAGAGTTCTTTCTCGTATTGAAGTTTTTCCTAATAGCAGCAGGGCTGTCAAGGCCTAGGTCCCAGACAGGGTGTGGCTATAAACTGGAGGTCTGTGTCCCCCACAAATTCTTATGTTGACATTTAATCCCCAGTGTGAGAGTATTGAAGGTGGAGCCTCTGGGAGATGATGAGGTCCTGACGGCGGAGCCTCACGAATGGGATTAGTGCCCCTGGGAAGGAGGTTTCCTCCGCCCTTCCACCAGGTGAGGACAAGTGAAATGGTCGTCTGTGAAGCAGGAAGCAGGTTCTTCCCAGACGCTGAACCTGCCAGCGCCTTGGCCGTGACTTCCTGGCCCCCAGCACTGGGAGAGATAGATTTCTGTTGTTTATGAGCTACGCAGTCTGTGGCGCTGTTACAGCAGCCTGAAGGGACTAAGACGGGAAAGGAAGTGAGCGTTTCCAGCCGCCAGCCTCTGGGGCTCCGTCTCTCCAGTAATGCTAGAGGCAGCGTCATTGGGTCTGGACGCCCACCCAGCTTTCTCCGGCATGGCCCCAGCTTCCAATGAGCGCTTGTTGGGTGTTTAGGGGTTGGAATACCATGGCGGACTCTTCCCTCGCTGGAGCCAGGGTTCCACGTGGCAGCAGAATGTCCCCCCAGGTGAGGTCCTGGGGCCCAGAAGCACACTTCCATTCGGATTGCATTCCTCACAAACCTTGAATTCTAGCTTCGCTGGCCTTTGAGGCCAAATGTCCTCAATTGGCATTGTCCACTATGTCCCCTTTATCTTCAGGGCTGCTGCTTTTTTTATAACAGTTTTATTGAGATGAATCACATACCATACAATTCACAATTGACCCCGTGCAGTTCATTGGCTTCCAGGAGTTCAGAGTTCAGCAACCATAGGCATAAGCAATTGGAGAACATTTTTCTTTTTTTTTTAATTGAGTTAATGATAGGTTACAATGTTGTGAAATTTCAGTTGTACATTATCGTTTGTCAGTCGTGTTGTAGGTTCACCCCTTCACACTTTGTGCCCACCCCCCACCCCACCTTTCCTCTGGTAGCCACTAATCTGTTCTCTTTGTCTACATTTTTAAATTCCTCATATGAGTGGAGTCATACAGAGATCGTTCTTCTCTATCTGGCTTATTTCACTTAACATAATTCCCTCAAGGCCTATCCATGTGGTTGCAAATAGGACGATTTTGTTCTGTTTTACGGCTGAGTAGTATTCCATTGTATATATATATACCGCATCTTCTTTATCCAATCATCTGTTGATGGGCACTTAGGTTGCTTCCATGTCTTGGCTATTGTGAATAATGCTGCAGTGAACATAGGGGTGCGTGGGACTTTTGGAATTGCTGATTTCAGGTTCTTTGGTTAGATACCCAGTAGTGGAATAGCTGGATCGTATGGTATCTCTATTTTTAATTTTTTGAGGAATCTCCATACTGTTTTCCATAGTGGCTGCACCAGTTTGCATTCCCACCAGCAGTGTATGAGGGTTCCTTTTTCTCCACAACCTCTGCAACATTTGTTACTATTTGTTTTAGTTATTTTCGTCATTCTAATGGGTGTAAGGTGATATCTTAGTGTAGTTTTGATTTGCATTTCCCTGATGATCACTGATGATGAGCATCTTTTCATGTGCCTATTGGCCATCCGTATATCTTCTTTGGAGAAATGTCTGTTCATGTCTCCTGCCCATTTTTTGATCGGGTTGTTTGATTTTTTGTTGTTGAGTTGTGTGAGTTCTTTATACATTATGGATATTAAGCCTTTGTCAGATGTATGACTTGCAAATATTTTTTCCCAGTTAATGGATTGTTTTTTTGTTTCAATCCTGTTTTCCCTTGCCTTGAAGATGCTCTTTAGTCTGATAAAGTCCCATTTGTTTATTCTTTCTATTGTTTCTCTTGTCTGAGAAGACATGGTGTCCGAAAAGATCCTTTTAATACTAATGTCAAAGAGTGTACTGCCTACATTTTCTTCTAGAAACCTTATGGTTTCAGGTCTCAGCTTTAGGTCTTTGATCCATTTTGAGTTTATTTTGGTGAATGGTGAAACAGAATGCTCAATTTTCATTCTTACATGTGGCTTTCCAGTTTTCCCAGCACCATTTGTTGAAAAGACTTTCTTTTCTCCATTGTATGCCCTCAGCTCCTTTGTCGAAGATTAGCTGTCCATAGATGTGTGGTTTTATTTATGGGCTTTCAATTCTGTTCCATTAATCTGTGCACCTGTTTTTGTACCAGTACTATGCTGTTTTGATTACTGTAGCTTTGCAGTATGTTTTGAAGTCAGGGATTGTGCTGCCTCCAGCTGTGTTCTTTTTTCTCAGGATTGCTTTAGCAATTCGGGGTCCTTTCTTGCCCCATATGAATTTTAGGATTCTTTTTTTTTTTTAAAGATTTTATTTTTTTCCTTTTTCTCCCCAAAGCTCCTCACTAAATAGCTGTATATTCTTAGTTGTGGGTCCTTCCAGTTGTGGCATGTGGGACGCTGCCTCAGCGTGGTCTGATGAGCAGTGCCATGTCGGCGCCCAGGATTCGAACTGACGAAACACTGGGCCGCCTGCAGCGGAGCGCGCGAACTTAACCACTCGGCCACGGGGCCAGCCCCGAATTTTAGGATTCTTTGTTCTATTTCTGTAAAGAATGTCATTGGGATTCTGATTGGGATGGCGTTGAATCTGTAGATTGCTTTAGGTAGAATGGACCTTTTAACTATGTTTATTCTTCCAATCCATGTACATGGAATGTCTTTCCATCTCTTTATGTCGTCATCCATTTCTTTCAGAAAAGCCTTGTCATTTTCATTGTATCAGTCTTTCACTTCCTTAGTTAAATTCACCCCGAGGTATTTTATTCTTTTTGTTGTGATTGTGAATGGTATTGTGTTCTTGAGTTCTTTTTCTGTTAGTTTGTTATTAGAGTATAGAAATGCTACTGATTTATGTAAATTGATTTTATACCCTGCAACTTTGCTGTAGTTGTTGATTACTTCTAAAAGCTTTCCAATGGATTCTTTGGGGTTTTCTATATATAAGATCATGTCATCTGCAAACAGTGACAGTTTCACTTCTTCCCTCTCTATTTGGATTCCTTTTACTCCTTTTTCTTGCCTAATTGCTCTGGCCAAAACCTCCAGTGCTGTGTTAAATAAGAGTGGTGATAGAGGGCATCCGTGTCTCATTCCTGTTTTCAGGGGGATGGCGCTCAGTTTTTGCCCATTGAGTATGATGTTGGCTGTGGGTTTGTGGTATATGGCCTTTATTATGTTGAGGTAGTTTCCCTTCTATCCCCATTGCGTTAAGAGATTTTTATCATAAACGGCTGTTGGATCTTGTCAGATGCTTTCTCTGCATCTACTGAGATGATCATGTGGTTTTTACTCCTGTTTGTTGATGTGGTGTATCACGTTGATTGATTTGCGGATGTTGAACCATCCCTGTGTCCCTGGTATGAATCCCACCTGATCATGATGTAGGATCCTTTTGATGAATTGCTGGATTCGGGTTGCCAAAATTTTGTTGAGAATTTTTGCATCTATTTTCATCAGTGATATTGGCCTGTAGTTCTTCCTTTTTTGTGCTGTCCTTGTCAGGCTTTAGTATCAGCATGATGTTGGCCTTGTAGAATGTGTTAGGAAGTGTTCCATCCTCCCTAATTTTTTGGAATAGCTTGAAAAGGATAGGTATTAAATCCTCTCTGAAAGTTTGGTAGAATTCCCCAGGAAAGCCATCTGGTCCTGGGGTTTTATTCTTTGGGATGCTTTTGATTGCTGTTTCAATCTCTTTCCTTGTGATTGGTCTGTTCAAATTGTCTGCTTCTTCTTGACTAAGCTTTGGGAGATTGTAGGAGTCCAAGAATTTATCCATTTCCTCTAGGTTATCCATTTTGCTGGCATATAGTTTTTCATAGTATTCTCTTATAATCTGTTGTATTTCTGCGGAGTCTGTTATTTCTCCTCTTCCATTTCTGACTTTGTTTATTTGAGCTTTCTCCCTTTCTCTTTGTAAGTCTGGCTAGGAGTTTGTCAATTTTATTTATCTTCTCAAAGAACCAGCTCTTTGTTTCATTGATCCTTTCTGCTGCCTTTTTTGTTTCAATAGCATTTATTTCTGCTCTGATTTTTATTATTTCTCTCCTTCTGCTGACTTTGGGCTTTGTTTGTTCTTCTTTCTCTAATTCAGTTAGGTGTAGTTTAAGATTGCTTGTTTGGGATTTTTCTTGTTTGTTAAGATGTGCCTGTATTGTGATGAATTTTCCTCTTAATACAGCTTTTGCTGTATCCCATATGAGTTGGTATGGCATGTTATCATTTTCATTTGTCTCCAGGTATTTTTTGATTTCTTCTTTAATTTCTTCAATGATCTATTGCTTATTCAATAGCATATTGTTTAGTGTCCACATTCTTGTGCCTTTCTCAGCTTTTTTCTTGTAATTAATTTCTAGTTTTATAGCATTATGATTGGAGAAGATGCTTGTTATTATTTCAATTTTCTTAAATTTGTAGAGGCTTGCCTTGTTTCCCAACATATGGTCTATCCTTGAGAATGTTCCATGCGCGCTTGAGAAGAATGTGTATTCTGCTGTTTTTGGATGGAGTGTTCTATATATATCTATTAAGTCCAACTGTTTTAGCTTTTCATTTAGCTCCACTCTTTCTTTGTTGATTTTCTGTCTGGATGATCTGTCCATTGATGTGAGTGGGGTGTTGAGGTCCCCTACTGTTATTGTGTTATTTTTGATATCTTCTTTTAGATTTGTTAATAGTTGCCTTATGAACTTTGGTGCTCCTCTGTTGGGTGCATAGATATTTATAAGCGTTATTTCTTCTTAATGAAGTGTCCCTTTGATCATTACATATTGGCCCTCTATGTCTCTCTTTACCTGCCTTACCTTGAAGTCTGTTTTGTCTGATATAAGTATTGCGACACCTCCTTTCTTT